GTGGAATTTGAGGCAGAAACCATCAGCACTGCTCCAACATGGCTTACAAGATCAGTCCAAATTGAAGTACTTCTGTCATCGTTGCTGATGTTGAATGATGCTGGGCTGAAGGACTGCCAAGTGCTGTTAGATAGATACTGGTTTTTTGATCTGTAGAAGAATTTCTGCATCTTGGAAGGCAGTATTAAAGTCTTGTCTAGAGATCCACTCTGGCCTCCTTGCTGGTAATGTTCTGATTCCTTCATCCCTGCTTATCCTATCCTCACCTTGCTGGAGGCAACAGTTTCTCCTGAGCTCTGCTGCCAGAAGAGGTAAGTGCACAGAGGATGGACAGGCCATGGACTGAGAGAGCACCTGTAGTCCAGAGTACCACCCCTGCCATCTGCAAGGTCCTCAGCCTCCCAGTAGAAGAAAGCAGGGGGAATCTCCAAAGTCACTGGAGGAAAAGGAAAGCCAGAGAAACTTGGAGGGACTGCCTGCTGGCAGAGGAGAAAGGATGAAGTCCAAAGTGTTCATCCACTGAGCTCCTTGACTTCCCACAACCAGTATGCTCACTGCTTCAGAGACATGTCCTTTTCCCTTGAAATCTTTGCTGCCGTTTCCACCAGGAAATGTGGCTGTCCTCCTTCTACGGGGGTTATTTGAGTGCCTGTCAGCAACACTTCTGTTTTCTGTTAGTGAAAAAAAGTAGCTCACTACTGATTACCTGCTTCCATGGCAAGTGACTTGCAGCACTCAGTTTTTATTCTTATCCATAGCTGCACTAACAACATGTGCTGCTATGCTGCTGGCAGACAGCATCCTCCTGACCACAGCCGCCACCTCATGATCCCGGGATGTAGAGAAATTCAGCGTAATAAAAAAAATATATGTACAAAAACATACTGTAAATAAATGTAACGTGAGAAATAAACAAGAGAAGTCAGCACACGCTGCCGTCTGTACGCGGGTAAAACCACCGCGTCGCACTGCGGTGTCAGCTGCGTGCCTCCAGGCATTCCGCGCCTGCGCACTGGGCGCGCTCTGCGGCGCTCCGGCCGGCGTCGTGCGCCCCCTCGCGGCCGGCGGCGCGGGGCCGACATGGCGGCGCGGCGGCTGTGGGCGCTTCTGGCTGCGCTGCGGGCGGGGTGGTGCCTGCTGCCGCAGGCCGGCTACCTGCATCCCGACGAGTTCTTCCAGTCGCCCGAGGTCATGGCAGGTAACGCGGCGGGAGGGCGGGAGGGGCCGAGGCGCGCTGCTCCCCGAGAGCCGCCGCCGGCAGAGCTCGTGTCCTCAGCGCGGCTCCGCCCGCAGGCGGCTCCTGGCCGCGTCCCGTCCCCGCGGCAGCGCTGCCCGAGTGGCGGCGCCGGGAGAGGGTGAGAACGGAGGACGAGCTGAAGGCTGCTGGCGGGCTCGGTGCTCTGGGGGCGGCCGTGTAGCGCAATGCCTTTTGGCACCGAGTTGTACCCCGACGTTGAAGTACTGAATAAAATAGATATGTCTGCTTTTTCTTTCTTTTTTTTTTTTCCTTCGTAGGAGACGTTTTAAACCTACGGGTCCATTATCCCTGGGAATTCCTTTCCAGCTCTCCCTGCAGAACAGCTGTTTTCCCATTACTGACCTCTGGAGTTGCCTACTGGGTGCTGAAGGCGTTGCAGCAGCTGGATGTGTGCTCGCGTTGTGTCAGCAGCTATACCCTTCTCGTGTCTCCTCGCCTTCTCCTTACGGTCTTTTCTTTTGTACTTGACTACAGTGTGCACCGATTGGCTCCTGCCTGGGGAGCGGATCCGTGGGAAGCACTGCTCCTCCTTGCAGGATCGTATGTCACTTTGGTGTTTTACACCAGAACGTTCACCAACACACTTGAAGGATTTCTCTTTGCACTTCTGCTGGTTTTGGTTTCCTCCAAAAAATCTGACAGCCGCATCACAAAACCTGCATGCAGCCATCTGATAGGTGCTGTAATAGCTGCAGGGTTTTTCAACAGGCCGACTTTTCCGGCATTTGCACTAATGCCCCTGCTCTACTGGGCACGTTTAAATGCTGACTCTCAAAAGAGCATTAAAACTCTCATAAACCCCTTTTTAAAACTTACCACCTGTGCATGTTTTACTGCCGTTGTCTTCATAGCAGCTGACACCATGTATTTTACCTCAGTGGGCTTGGACAGCCTTTTCAGCTTTACAAACAGCAGCCTGTTCGATGTCATAGCTCTGTTAAATCACAGAGTGGTGGTGACCCCTTTCAACTTCCTCTGCTATAATCTTGATTCTCGTAACCTTGCACAGCATGGAAGTCACCCACGAGTTACACATTTTATAGTTAATGGAGTCATGCTCTTTGGGATCTTACACCTTCTGGCCATCGATGCTGGGTTTAAAATGCTAAAGAAATACATCCAGCAGTTAATGCGGGTTGGATTGTATTACCGTGGGCCACCCAGGTTATCAGTGCATTCCGAGGGCCAGCCAACACTGCTGCTGTTTTATTTTGTTCCTTTGGCACTTCTCTCCCTCTTCAGCCACCAAGAGCCTCGATTTCTCATCCCTCTCATCTTGCCATTAGTCCTGTTCAGCGCATCACAGAATAGAGCTGTGAAGTGGAAACCCATCATTATCATTTTTAATGTTCTCGGGGCTTTCCTGTTTGGATGCCTGCACCAGGGGGGACTGATACCATGCTTTTTTCACTTGGAGCACGTCTTGCATTCTTCAGACTCCTCAAACCATCCAAGACACTATACTCTGCTCTTTGCTCACACCTACATGCCTCCTAGGTCTCTGCTAAATATCAAGAAGAAAGACACACATGTAGAAGTGATTGATATGGCTGGGTCTGAAGAGGAAACCCTCTGCCAAATGGTAGGACAGCACGCAAACAATTGTACCTGCAGTGACTGTCACTTTTTGGTTATAATCCCCGGTACAGTCAGAGCCACAATTGCCAAATGTGGGGTCTCGCTCAAGAATGAGACTTTGATATTTCCACACTTATCAATGGAAGATCCACCACAGCTATCCTTCCTATTCAGTGAAAACTGGAGAAGTCAGTTAGGACTATACATCCTTCAGCTAGGCAGAGCTCAGCAGAGACTTTAGATCTCAGAATGTTTTAGGTTTTCACTTTGACGCTGCCCAAATGTGCTGTCAGACCTCCCTCTTCAAAATCCTGTGCTCAGCACAGGCAGTGCTGTTGTGAGCTCAATTCTCCCCCTTTCTTCATGCTCAGCATAGCTACCTCTACCAAGATTTGAATCATTCAGTCCCTGTGGTGTTCCTGAGAAGCTTGCCTTGTTTTCCTGATGAGAGAAGATGAACCCAGAGACCACAGAAACGGATTTGAGCTTCGTTCTTTTCGTATGAGATACACATGAGAAGTTCGTATAATCTCAGATGGAAGGTTTGTGGGCTGCGCTACTGAAACGAGGCGTTTAGCTCATCTGCTGGAGAGAGGTTACTAGACTAGGAGGACTTCATCTGATTCAATATGGTTTTACCTTCATGCCCTTGAAATTTCAGACCCTCCTCTCTGTCCCTATACACGATATGGACACCAGTGTTACAAATATTGTTTGAGGTATTTCTGCCCTGAAAAATCCCCAGTATTGATGTAACAGAAGCAGATTTAGAACGCGGAAGATGCTTCAGCACAGGCATTTATGCTAAATCCTAAAATTTTGCTTTCTCAAGAAGCATTTTGCACGGTAAGTCTCTGTTGTGTGCTCACCTTGAACCCCTCCATCCCTCATTGCCAATACCTGCATACTGAGGGTGCATGCTTTTTGGTGGGGTAGCAGCAGAGCAGCTGTACCAATGGCTCATCCAGTAGCAGAAGGAATTACAAAAGCATCACAATTGTATATTCTATTTCTTTTTTGCTCTTTTAAGTTGGGACAACAGTATTGTGCCAAAATTTGTATTCCGTGTCCTGCTTACTGTTTTCAGCTATTCTTAAACAGCTATGAAGTTTCATAACTATTTTGAAACTTATGATCTTATGAACTTATGGTAACTGTTGAACTCATGATCCCTGTACAAATGGGGTAGATCTTGAAACTCTTCCTGGTTGTGACGAAGCACCAACCAACAATCATAAATTTGTACCACTCACAGGTCACCTGGAGCAGAGCCAGGCAGAGACCCCAGACTACAAATACTGACTCAGATTGAAAATGCACTGCTTCTGTCTCATCAGATGGACTTTTATTGAGTACACCATAGATTCAGTTTTTCAGTTTAATTTTACCAGCAGAACTGGAAGCCACGTATCTTGCCCGAGGAGATTGTGGACGCCCCATCCCTGGATGCAAGGCCAGGCTGGATGTGGCTCTGAGCAGCCTGGTCTGGTGGTTGGCGACCCTGCACATAGCAGGGATTTGAAACTAGATGATCACTGTGCTCCTTTTCAACCTATGCCATTGTAGGATTCTGTCTCATAGGGAGGCTCCCCTTTAACGTCCAGTGATACCAACTATGGCAGTCTTCCTCCCAGGTTACCTCAGCATGCAGTCAGCTGCACCCCGAGGTATGTGGCAAAGCTGTTTAAGTCTTGTGGATGTTCATACAGTACTGAAAGCAAAGCAGCCCAGCCTATCAGGACAATGGATACATTTCTTCCATTCTACCCATCATCATCATCACTAGAGCTTTGTCTCTTTGTCTCCAAGCCGCCATACAAGCACAGACTATGTAGACTACCGCTGCTGCACGGATAGGAATCGTTACAGGACCTCTGGTGAGAAATGGCTTTATTTGAGGGTTCACATCACGCAGTAACAATCTTCACAGTATTCTGGATGACGCTCGATGTAAGCCTGCCCGCTGCTTGTAGCTGAGCGCCGTGCACAGTACGAAGTGATGGTGACACGGTGACAGACACGGTGACCGGCCCCACCGCAGCGCTCCGTGGCCGCCTTCGTGCCGCTCCTCGGGTCCCCCCGCTCCGTTCGGTGCCGTCACCGCCAAACCGTCTCCATGGGCCCGGCCACGCGCACGCCCCGCACGGCCGCCTCCTCCCGCCGCTCAGGGCCGGCCGCTCCGTCCCGGTCCCCGTCCCGGTCCCGATCCCCTCCCGGGGGATTCCGGCCAGCCCCGCGGCTGGCCGCCGTCCTTCAGCCGCCCCAGGAAGGCGTCCCGCAGGCGGGTCAGGCCGGGCTGCAGGTCCCTCGCCGCCCGGCGGGCGCCCAGCTGCCCTCGGGTGATGGCGCTGGCGGTGAGACGGGCGGCGGCGCGGATGGGCCGCGACTCGGAGAGCTTCTCGATGAGGTGCGGGTTGCTGAGCAGCGCCAGCAGCACCCGCCGCAGCACCATCCTGCGCGCCGCTCCCGCGAGAGTCGGCGCGACCCGAGCGTTCTCGCGAGAGCCGCCGAGCGGGAGGGACCGGCTCTCGCGAGAGCGGCGTCGCGTCCCGCCATTGGCAGCGGAAGCAGGGGCGCCATGTTGCGCGGCTGCGGTGCGGGCCGGCAGCATGTGCTCGGGCGGCACGCTGAGCATCCTGCGCAGCGACTCCTACGTGGACCTCAGCCAGTACCGCGATCAGCACTTCCGGGTAAGAGCCGCGAGGGTCCCGGTGCCGGTCTCGATCCCGGTCCGTGTGCCGCCGGGTAACGCTATGGTTGCGCTTAGGGCACGCGGTACGACCAGGAAAGGCTGCTGAGGAAGAGCTGCACGCTGTACGTGGGGAACCTCTCGTTCTACACCACGGAGGAGCAGATCCACGAGCTGTTCGGCAAGAGCGGCGACATCAAGAAGATCATCATGGGGCTGGACAAGGTGAAGAAGACCGCCTGCGGCTTCTGCTTCGTCGAGTATCCTTCTGCCGGCCGCGTTCTGGCGCTGGGCCTGGGCAGTAAAACATTTCTCTTGGGCTTTTGTTGGTCTCGTGCTTCCCTGCGATGCACGGCCTCTGTGGGTCCGGGTGTTGTCCTGCTATCGCTCTGTGTTCTCTCTGAGCTCTCAGGCCTGACAGATCCGTGCACGGTTTTCTTTAACAAATTCCTGAGGTATTACGCAAGGGGAGATGCTGAGAACGCAATGCGGTACATCAATGGGACCAGGCTTGACGACAGGATCATAAGGACGGACTGGGATGCAGGATTTAAGGAGGGCCGGCAGTACGGCCGGGGGAGGTCAGGGGGCCAGGTAGGTTGTCTGCTTTCTGAGGGGCTGGTGACTGTCAGCTTATTGCTTTTTGAATGGACGCACCCAGAACAACTTAAGGAACAGCAACTTCAGAGATGTTGAAGATCATAATATATGTTAATCCCTAAGTGTTTTATCAGTGGTGTTATCTGCTGAGGATAATTATTCATATATTTCACTGAAAGTATTTTCAGAAGCCTGATGATTGTTTGGGGAGGTAACTCATATAAATAAACCCAGGAAACGTAAAGCTGGCAAAAACACAAAAGAGAACACTCAGCTCACCAAAAGTCGGGTGGGTAGCAGGTAGTTTTACTGCTGAAAAAATGAGACAGTGATGATGGCCAGTCTGTCTTGATTGATAGTGCCCAAAGGGACCATTTAACAGGAAATGTATTTGACCTGGCATTCTGGGTTTGTGCATGATGCACTTTTCCTTTTCTTTTGTCAGACAACTTTTGTGCAGACTCAGTTTGACCATATAATCTGATGGTGTAGAAGCTCTTGCTAAAATACCTTTCTGTATATATTTACCAGACTTTCGTTTTTTGTTTTTTTCTCCTTTGTAAGGTCAGAGATGAGTATCGGCAAGACTATGATGCTGGAAGAGGTGGCTATGGTAAAACTGTTCAATGCCAGTGAATAGTGAATGACTCATCGGCCTCACGGGAGAACTAAATGCCAATTGTAAATGTTGTGAGGCGCAGAGCAGATCTTTTGCACACAAGTTCATGTAAATAGAAATTTACAGGAGCTAGTATCAGTGTTCCTGTAGTCACATGGTATATTCTATTTCTCTTCTCTTTTAATACCAGGATGCAAAACATTGCCAAGCACACTAATACACAGGACCTGGGAGCAAGGTTTTAAGCAATAGTATGCATGAGACTTTGGTCTCAGAATGCTGCTGCAAATCTACTGAAAGAATCAAAGGTTTAACAGAATGGTGCTTCTTTTTTTCCCTGGCAAAAACTTGATTATTCTGTCACTGGATTTTGTTTATGTTAGTATCACAAGGCAGAGGGAGATCTTAAAGCTAGATTTGTGTATGGTTCAGAGACTGAAGGAAAAGTCAAAGTGCCCAAAAAAGGAATGAAATTCCAATTTCCAGAGTAGTCTTAAAGTTGTAGACGTTGAGTTTGGTGAATTAGCAGCCTTTTACACTTTCTGAGTTAGCTTTTCCTTTCTGAGTAAGCACACATCTTTGAAGGGCACAATAAAGCAAGCCAGCCTGAGCCCAGGAATCATAAAATGGGAAGCAAACCTAGCAGATGAGAGAAGTCAGACCTTGCAGTGTTCTTCAGAGTATACTGCTGTTGTATGACACTGTATGGTCCAGAACCATCTTGCTTTGTGAGGCATGAAGTGCAGGAATTACAGTACTAGTTATTTTCGTGGTTGGAGTAGTACTGTTTTACTCCAGTCTGGTAACACTCCATAGCCTTAATATTTGGGGAACAGTATCTTCCCTGTGTCTGCAAGGGTAGCACGGAGCCAAGCTTTGCAGTTAATCCCTTCCCCGCTCCTTCCTTGCCCTAGTGACAGTCAGTATGAGGAATTATCTGTATAGTGGGAAAGCTTGTTCTCAAAGTAGATTTTCTGTTTGAGAAACCTGATGGCAAATAAAGTTAAAAATAATTTTAAAAAATTAGCTTTGGAGAAGCTTTATGTGGAGTACGTGGTAAGACTGGTGAAAGAACTGTGGGACTCCTCTCGTATTTTTTTTCTTCCTCTAGATCTTAGGACAAAGGGGAATAAATATGTTAGGCAAGAATTCCATACTCAGAGGTGATGAGGAAATGGCCCAAGTTGTCCAGAGAGCTGTGGGTGCCCCTTCCCTGTAGGTGAGCAAGGCTGGGCTGGGTGGGGCCCTGGGCAGCCTGAATTGGTTGGGGGCCACCATGCTACTGCAGGGGTTGGGACCAGACTGAGTTCCCAACCCAAGCCATTCTATCATACTGTGATTAATACTGCAAGTTAATGTGATGGGATATGGTAATACTGCATCAGGAAAAAAAAAAAAGTGAAATGAACTGCTGAAATGAACTGGGTTTAGAAGAAATTGTTAAAGGCTGATGGATTATTTTTTTTTTCCTTTTTGGATGGACTTCTGAGTTCTTTGGAAACTGCAATTCGTAAGGCCTTGTCCAAATACCTTGACTTCCCAAAGGTCTTTAAAATCTTTAGTATGTAAAATTTGACCTTTTTTCATGGAATATCAGATAATGGAAATCTTGACATGTTTCTAATATACAGTTAGTCACAACTGTTACTGTACATTTGAATTACAGAACTACAGTAAGATGCCTTTCCCATTAAGTGAGGTTGAGGGGGGCCTTTTGATTTTTGTTTCTTGTTTTTCTTTTTTCCTGGCACACAGAGTAAAGCTGGATTTTCAGGATCACTTGATGCTGATCTGAAAAGAAGACGTTGAGCAGATTATCTTTTTCTGTGTAGAAAAATCATTTGATTATGAGCTTGCAGCATGTAATCTGCTGTAGGAAACCTCTAAGTTTATTTTTTGCAGTGCCAGTTTTGTACAAAAGTCTGTACTATCAAAACTTGAGGTCACTTTCAAATAAAGCTGCAACACTAAATCGATTTTTTTTCCCCATTGATTCTGTTTAAAAAATAAGCAAAAATAGAGATTATCTACACTCGGTAGCCCTGAGAAGATCTTAGGGCTCCTGGTAGATTAAAAGCTGGACATGAGGCAGCAATGTGTGCTTGCGGCCTGGTGCGCCGTTTCCTGGGCTGCAGATCAGCAGACAAAGACTGGTTCTGTTTGGTGCTGTGTTTAATGGTAAGTATTTGAAATGGTGACAGAGACATGAGGTAAGGCTCTCAAAAATATTCACATCTATTAATGTTGTAACAATAATGTCATGAATTGTACAGCCTCAAAATGAGAAGCCACTAGTAACTACAGAAAAACGTCTGTGCACATGATACTGTAAGACATGTTGTTTTAATCAATGGGTCTGTTCAGATCAGGGCAATATGCTTTAGGAGTTTGGTGCTGTCGAGTAAAAAGATGCTGTGTATGTGTAAGGTTTACTGAATGCATCATAGTGCAGTTCCAGCTGTGGTTGGTGTGTAAAGGGGCTGCACTCTTAGTGCTTTCATTATTTTGAACAAACTGGGTAACCCAGCTGTGCTGTGCACCCATCTCTGCACTGAAGAGCACAGGGAGAGGTTTTACAACTTTTCAAGTTGCCCTTTCAAGAAAAGCTGGGGCTTGCCTTCAGTAGAGGATCCTGATCCGCTCTTGTTCTTGCCATTGAATGGGAAGCAGGCTGGTTGGAGGTGACTTGCTTTATTAATGACCCATTTCTAATGAGGTGAGGAGTTATAATGAGTTAAATGGGTTTATGTTTTTGGGGTTGGTTTTTTTGTTTGTTTGTTTTTTGTTTTTTTAGTTATTAGTATGATGATGACCAGCTTTCAACTTCTTTTAACACAGAAACAACAACTTTGAAAAAAATAATAACTGAAAGGTTTTTTACTGTGAGGTTCTCTATTTTTCAGTGGGATTTAAAAGCACATGGACATACGTAAAGTCTTAGCTTCTTAAAAGGGAAGCTTTTAGGTTAGTTAGGTTAGGAAGCTTTTTAGTTAGTAGAGGAAACTCCTTGAGCCTGGTTTGATTTTAACATTCTCTAATAGCAGTCCGGCATGGCTCTGCTGAAGCAAGAGCTGTACCAAAGCAGCTGCCAATTCCGTGGCCTCTTAAAGCATGAGGAGTGTATGTCTGCATAAAGTTGGGGCTGAGTGCTTCAGGGACCAAAGTTTCCTGTGTGGTGTGTCATTACAAAGGTAAGCCATGATGGTCCAGTTTACAAGCCATGATTTGAGAGGAACACGGAGTTTTTCCTTATCACCTGCCTACATTATTTACTCTCACCTTGGCCTGGAGAGGTCTTGAGCAAGTCCTGCTTAACGTTCCAGACAGCAGCAAATTATGGGATAAGGGTTGGGCAGATTTCCTGTGTTCCACTCTAATTTCTGGGTGAATGAACTAGGACAGGAGCATATGTGAAAATGTGAGATTTATGTAGTAATACTACATAACTTAACCCAATGCCTGTGCCACAAAGAGAGCAAGGTTTTGTTGTGTCCTGGTCAGGTGAAGGTGGTTACAGAAGGAAGGGAGTTTTTTGACCTTCAGAAGCCACATTCTGAAAGCAGAAATGTGTTGTTATGTATTGGTTCCATATTTTATGGTGATGATCTGCCCCTGCTCTGCTTCCCAGCCTGCTACCAGAGACAGAGATGTGCTTTACCTCAGTGGGATATCACTCTTCAGTTTTATTTCAGCTTCTAACGAAAGGTTGAGCATCTGTTACAGTTATCTACAAGGGAGGAGGAGAACTAGTAGACACGAGTATCCAAACCCTTCTTTGCAGCACTCACTGACTGGCATATTTAGATCTGATGCAAACCTTTCCCTTCTACAAAGCCATGGTGTTTGAGCTTCAGACACAAGGAGCAGCTGGGAAGTGCCAGCTGGCTCCCTCTCCTGACTGCAAAGCAGTGTGTCTGCTTTCTGAACTAGCAAAGCCAGCTGCTGGCAGTAGCTCGATGCAGCGTGCAATGCATGGTTCAGGCTCATGGCTTTGCTTTTTTGTGTGTTGTAAAAATCTAGAGAAAGCCAAAACCCACCTTAGTTCTGGATGTGTAGTAAGAAACTGAAATACTGCTGGGGAGGAAAGAGTGTGTGTTAAGTGTTACTCAGGGAACAGCTGGGAGCATCACCTTTCTGCACTGCCCTGAGGGTGAGTGTTGTCAGGTATGAGGCCATAGCTCAAGTGCTTGTGTTGTTTTTAATGTTATTTTCATTAGAGCTATTTCTGACCCATTAATCAGAGTGGGCTGTTGCAGAATTCCTCTGGAATGGGCATTGCTCTGTAAGGGTGGTATTGGATCACAATTTACCTCAGCTGTAATTAGAAGATGTTTTTCTCTCAATGCAGTTTGAGGACAAATGGGAAATAAAAGTTGCCATTTTTATATTTATCCAATTACATGTAACATAAGCGTCAGCATAAATTAGCCAGATGCAGCCAGCTTGCAGTTAAATTTCTGGATAATGAAACTTTCTGCACCTACCTTTCCCTGCAAGGCAATGGTTTGAAAAGAGATGCAGTTTTTGTACTCACAGTAGATAAGAGCATAAAGACAATGCACTAGTCTTTAGATCTGTAGCTCACACGTAGTTTGAATTGCGTCAAGCTGAACTTGTGTCAGCTTTCTGACTTCCTTCTACTCGTTTGAAATAACGATCCTATTCCTCTGTGCTTCGTATTGTTATGTTTTAGGAATGGCTACTTTTTCTGAATTAAACGTTTGTCTGTTTACCTTAATTATAAATCATTGCCTCTTCATGGGCAGTTGGGTGTTTGGTTTTCTGAAGTACTGCTGTTCTGCAGCCTGTTCCATGGCTGTTGATGAGAACCAGCCGGAGCGCAGTCAGCATGTCGTGCTGCCACAAGATGTCATGACAAGCCGTGTCTGACTGCAGGACTCACACACTGCATCCCTGGCACTCAGCGAGGCTGAGCAGTGCTTATGAAGCAATGTGCTCTGGGGGCGTATCGCTTTGCCATGCTGCTCCTTGAAGAAATGCTTTTTTGTGTTGTTTTTGCATTGAAACAAAAATCTGGTGACTGAATTGCCTCCAAACACGCCCTGAAGTGATAGGAGTGAATGCGTTCTGACAGTGCTGAGGTGTAGCGTAATGCTGAGCACCATAGGGTGGAGGTGTTCTTTCTGTATGTTGTAACCAAGATTTTGCAAACTGCCAAAGGGTGGTTTTGGTTGTGTTTTTTCATCCTCTGGAATGTATACTTTGGAAGGAGAAGGAATGTGTTTCTAGGAACTGGGAATGACTTTGCCCATTAAATCCCAGAATGTCCTAATCTGTTCCCCCTTGCTTTTGGTTTTAAATTCCCAGCTGAATCTCCTCTTTGAAATGTCCACGTTATCTTGGTCAAACCTCTGAGCAGCAGCCTTACAATGTTCCAGACTGCATAGCAGCAGGGACTTGTTTGCTGCTGCCTACCCTTGACAGAGGGAAACTGGGTGGAGACTCTGTAAGCTGCCTTGGTGTCGTACATATACTCTAAGTCATGGCAGGCTTTTTGGTGAATTGTTTTGTTTGCAGACCTGTCAGGAACTCAGTTTTCTCTCCCATTTTGTTCAGTGAGATCTGCTTGCATAACGTTTAAGCACTGAATTTGGTTTAATGAGCTTTATCAAACTTATTTCTCTGTCACATAAACACAAAACACACACAGAGGATATGGGGCTTACTTTAAAAGACATTTGTTCTTTATGTACCACCCTCTCTAGTAAGCCTTGCTGCTGTGACGCTGGCTGGGTGCTCAATGCATTTCATTTCAGGGCTTTGCACAAAATACTTTTACACCTAAATGTATCAGGAGAGGGACTGGTTACTATATCTGTGCGTCGCTGGTTTGTTATTTGATACAATCAAAAGGAATCTTAGGGTCTGCCAGCAGCAGTAAGAATGCAGGTAGCTGTAACGAAGCCGAAAGGCACCATAATCATTGTGTTTCTGTAGAGGAAATGCTGCCAGATTTCTGCTACAGTTTGTTCTCTGTGAGAAGTTGGTTTCTTTTCAGAGTTTTAATAGATGGAGTTGGGCAGGGAGGGAAGGTGGTGCTTTGCCAACATAAATATTCACAAGTGAAAAGATTCCTCTTCATGTGATTTCAGGGTAATCTTGGAAAAGAATGTGTTCAGTTTGTATCGTATTTAAATTGAATATCCATGTCATCAGCGTGGTTCTTTTGAAGATACAAGGCTGGGTTCTCAGACAGTTTCATGGATTTTGGATGAGAATATTGAATGAGATCAGTGTAACTCCAAATTGCAATAGAACACATTTACCCATATGAATATGAACCAAAAATATCTCAAGCCTATCTTGCTGGTTACTGAATTCCAAGAGCTATGTGATAAAGATCTGAGGAACAGACGGGTAAATGAACATATATGTCCTGTTTGGGAAAATGTTCCCGCTTGTTCTCCTGTCTGTCAGCACACTGAGCAATAGGAACTAGAACTTTTCTAGAATAGAAGCGTTTGTTTTGTAGGTGTGCGACCACGAAGTCCAGCAGCAGCAAATCCTCGTCCACATTTCTGTATCAGCATGTGCTGTAACTCATACCGCTTTTAGTGCCAGCCGAGGGAATCTTCACATGTGTTCATGATGACCACATCAGGACTGAATCAGTTTCTCGCAGCCTTTGGTTGCACGTGAAGTGCAGTTATAGTCAGGTCTGGAAATGCTCTTGTCATGGCGAGTATTCGAAAATATGAGTACATGGATGGAGAGCGTGTGTGTTCTACATACCTGGTGACTATTCTTGTTCGGCCCCATTTTGGTCTGGCATGTCCTCCATGTGATTGTATTGTTGAAAACCAAGAGCACTGGTAAGGAATAACAGACTTCAGAGAAGCTCTGTTGTCTCTGCCATTTTACAGCTCTTGGGGAAAAAAAAACTTTAAATCAGCTTTAATGTGGATTATTCTAAAACTTCTTCAGACAGATGAGTGATCTCTTATCATCTTTATAT